TTTGTACTGCTGTTACACAGCACAAAACGCATAAAAAAGTAAACGGGTAGAGGTGTACAGGCTTTATTATCGTCTATTGGATAGTTTGTGTACAATCAAATAATGCTTGTTATATCTGTATTATCATTATCAGTACTTGCATATTATACTTTTACATCACTGTTCCTTGTCAATTATCACTTGGTCTGCATTTGTGACTTTTGTAATTTTCTGTTCAAAGTTAAAAACATGAACTTTCACCTCATTGCATTTGTACTTAGGCTCAGCCTTAAGAATAATTTCTGAGAGCTTATATGGAAATCCATGATGATCGGGCAAAAACCAGCTATCAGTGCCAGGTAAGCAAGCTTTTTTGCTTATTTCAGAAAGCAGCAGCAACTCGGGCTTCCGGTGGTTCTACTTCGGTGAGCGATGAGTAGTTCACGAGCGCCTGAACCGAATGTTAGTGCCGCGCCGATATTCGCAACTCACTTGAACTCCCCCTCCTCCAGCTTGCTGATGGTGCACAACGCCGAGGCGCAACTTTTCATCATTGTCGGCAAATCGAATGGTGATGTTAGTTCCACTACGTTTTTATGCGTTTTGTGTTGTGTAACAGCGTTACAAAACGCATACTGTCACGGGGTTGTCTGTGTGTGTGTTTATATCTGTGTCCCACATTTCGTCCCGCACTTTCAACTCGGGAACCACAAAAGCTAGGCGGCTGAAATTTTGCTATAGTGTTCCCCGCCAACGTGTGACGCAACAAATTTAAATTCAGCCTTCCCGTACTCGCGGGTAACACGTACGACCCCGTGAAATTTTTTTACGGGTAAGTTAATATCTCAGGGACCACGGAGTCTGGGAGGCTGAAATTTTAGGGTAGTAATCCCCTGACCACGCTCAACCTTGCCTATTCAAATTCAGCGTTCCCGCGCTCTTGAGTATCACCTACGGCATTGTGAAAATTTTGGCGGGTAAACTATTAACTCGGGAATCACGGAAATAAATTCACCCTCCAAGGTTTCGAATTCAGCTTTCA